TATGGTTTATTTGCTATGGTTTAAGTATATCTCTTAGGATTCATCTATTAAGATTTACTACATATTTGAAAAATCACAAGAGGGTAAAAATTTATTTCAAAACTTAGAAGTGTGGTCTTTGAGAGTGACTAGGAATGGGTAAGTCTATTGGCTCATGATTGAATCATTAAATTCTTGTAACATGTGCTTGTTCTTGTTGTATAAGAAGGAACAAGGCAGGCTGTTGATCCCAGCCCCAGGATGCCTAGAATGAAAACTTAAGTCAAGCATATAGTAGCTATTGTAGTTGATTGTGGCTTCCAATGTATTCATAACCTGTACATGGTCCTATTGCATGCAAATGGTACTTTACAGGTAATGCATAGTTTATATGGTTTAAGTGTACTACCCAAAGTTTCACATACTTCAAGCATGGCCACTGGCATGGCAGTATTAAGGTGGTTGCTTGGTAAGTTGGCAGTGCTCAGGAAAATGCTAGGACCTGAGGGTTTATCTTTGTAAGAGATTAGCATGGTCTTCAAAGGACTGGTTAGTTTCAAGAAAGAATGCGCTTATGATGGCAAACCTGACCTCAAGTCCTTCTAGGGCCTGTCCATATCATGATGCATTATACCCTACTGTGATGTAGGTCAAAGCTCCTAAACAGGTGAGTAGATGGTGATTCTGTGTTCTTGGGTATTCACAACTATGATCGTAACCACGATCTTTTCTTTATAATGTGCCTAACCTCAGGAAAACTGCAATAGCAACTGAAAACAGACTAAGAATGTGATTAAGGATGTTAAATTGGGAAGTTATTCCGTACTTCCGGTATGACCCTAATACAGACATGATAGAAAGGCAATGAGAATTTGACAGGAAAGAGGAACTAAGATGTGGTAGAGATTGGAGTGAGATTCAAGGACCTTTAGCTAAGGCATGTATACAGCTTCAAGAAGCTTCAGCAGGTAAGAAAATACATTATCCCTTGTAGTATCTGAACTTAGGTCTAATGAAACTTAGCACTTTTGGTCTTTGATTGTGAGATAATATATTTTGTTGCTGTAAGCTACCAACTTCTGGGTGCTTTCCATTAGTTCCATAGGAAACTAGCTTAGTAGCTTTGTGGCTGTATGTAAATCTTCTACCACATTGCTTTAACTTCTTTATCTGTAATATAGAAAAATGTCTTATCATGTGTCTGAGAAGACCAGTGAGCTAATATATTCCAGGCAATATACCTGGCCTACAATAATCATTTGATCATTTAATCATTTAATCCTCATATAAAACCCAGGCTTAGTGACACAGGTAGTTAGTAGGATAGTCAGAACTTCTACAGAGATCTTTCCGACTTCAAAACTGCCATAGTAAGTTGTAGCAAAACTATCAATTAATGGATCAAGTATGATGTTATTCAATGTGGCTCAAACTTTCCTTTAAAAATGGTGTTTGAGAAAAATGCAATTTTCTGTCACCTTGTTTGAAGTTTTAGAAGAGCTGATATTAGTGTATGAGAGAAAAAGTTAAATTCCTTTCCTAGTAAAAAATATAAACAGCATTGCAAGTTTCCTGATTTCTTTCTTTTTTGCTCTAGCTAATTTTAGCTTTCATGTCTCCTATTATTATAAAAAGGTCAGAAACTTTTAAAAGTAAAAGTTTTATAAAATAAAAATTTTCACTAAGCCAAATTTAGGATTCTTATTATTATTGCAAGTTTAATTTCTCCTCAGTGTGTAGCATCTATCCATGCCCAGGAGTGGAGGAGAGTATCATCCTTGGCCTTCACCTGCCATTACCACTCATCATCTTACTCAGAGCGACCTCCAGCCCTATGAGCTCCAACAGAGAAAATTACCCTACAAAAGAAAAGCACTTTCTCTTCTCTGCACTGCATTTTTACTGTATTCTTCATGTGTTTTGATATGTTTGGATTCAAAAATTCTTTCCACTATGCTACAGCTGGCTAAAGTATTCAGTATAATGGTATGTCACTCAAGTGTATAGATTATAAGGCAGTAGCATCAAGACTCATTTACAAGTAACAACATCACCTATTGTCATGTTTCTTAGATAGTCCTCTTATGCTGAGCCACATTTGTGTATCACCCATGCACTAGCCTATCTACCTATCTAGCTGAGCTTTCAGCAGATAAGGACCAGTAGACTACTCTATAAGACAGACTCTGGTGTTGTTGATAATTAATTACAGTTCTACCACTGGAAAAGTAACTGTGACTTTTGGAACCAGAGACATTATTAGAAGCTTCAAAAATACACAGCAAGGACAGTGATCAAGGTTTTCCAGAGTGAAAGAGTGAGGGTGGGGGATGGTGGGAAAGCCAAAGAAAAAGCAGAGTTAGTTAGGAAGTTTTGGCAGAACACAGGTGGTGCAGAAGATGTGAGCTTTAGGGAGGAGGAGATCAAAAAAGAAAAGAGCCTTAAATAAAAGCTTTAGAGCATGAAAGGGAAATGATGACATGGTTAAATTGGACATGGTATTTGATAACATATAGTCAAGTAAGGTTTCTTTGCTTTCCTCCAGACAAAAGCATAGACTGGCATTTGGTTGTCTGATGGAAATAATTTAGCAGAACATATGAGGATGCTATTTATCAAGGCAGGGAGCTTGTTGAGATGTGAGGTATGCATCCTGACATCCTTCGTTTTCTTTCTTTCTTTTTTTTTTCTCCTGAAACATTACTGACAGTCACAGCTACAGTCCAGCATTCTTGAAGTTGACATATGCTGAGTGACAGATCCAAGATAAGAGCAAAATACATTTGAATGTCCCGATAAAGGAAAAATGCGAAAGGGATGAAATTGCAGAGATAGAAGGTGTGTCTTTAAAGCTCTTAGGAGAACAAATTGCTAATCAGGAATAGTACTGTATAGAGGCTTGATAAGTTCGAATGTGGGAACCCGTCTGGGATGGAAACTCTTTCTAACATGTAGTGGCTTTATAAGAACCCTAATGAGATCCATTTGAAAGCACTGGCTCCATTTGGTATGAAGCAAAATTGTCAAGAGATTTTCAGATGTCTGAATGCGCTATAATAAGCTCACCGGGGCCAAGGCGGGGTGTCCAATTGTGCAAGTATCATAAAAGCTATTTCTGGAAGCTCATGGTCTGTAAAAGTACTTTCTGTCACCATTAATTTCTGGGAAATGGAAGCCACCTGTGAGTATGAAATAATACCAACATGGATTGAGTCAATCTTAGTCTGGGTTTATGAATAATCAGCAATTCTTCTGTAATCTATCACTTTATATTCATTGATACTCACTCTCATGTGAAAATTCACCCTCTCCTCTTCGCTCACACATGGTATTTGCAAAGCATATATGATTTTAATTTGTTACTGTTCTTATGAATCATATACATACATTCTCACAACATTTTCTTCACTCATTTTTCATTTAATATCAATAAAGTTGTGCCAATGACTATACATAGCATTTTCTTGGCTTCAATACTTCTTGTCCATGATCGGATCTTAGTATATAGATGACAGATTACTAAGAATTTACCTCTGCATTTCTAGCTATAGACGATTGATTTGAGGATAGATGCCCACCCTGGCTAGACCAGTGATAAAGGTCTCTAATGGGAATTGGGGAAAACATAAAGGAACCTGGGAGAGCCCCTCATTCAAAGCATATGAATTGTTCTGTTCCTTCCTTAGAATCTCCTGTGCTTACTGATAAGGGTTTATGAAAAAATATTCCTTCTGTCACTCTGAAGATGTACCAGAAATTTACCTTTTTTTTTCCTAAAGATGAAAGTTGCTGTTGCCTTTACAGTTGGAGTGGCTGTGGCAAGTACACATGAGCTTGTAGGCTCCCAGAATTCTTCATAAAGGTTGTAATAAAAACAAAACAAACAACAAAACAAAACAAAACAAAACACCTAACTTGTGCTTTAAAAAAAGCTAAAATAATTTCTTTGTCCACAACTGCCTTTTCTACATAGTAACCACCTTCAGAATTTGTCTGTTGGAGGACACATTCCTGAAGAAGGAATCCTTCAGTTATGGTGAGATTAATTCACAAAATGATAATGGTGATGCACTCTGTTTTGTCCTAAGAATTTCATTTTGTTCTTGCCACTGACTTTTTATGGTACAGTCTTTTAAAATCCATGGAATACCCTGAGTTATAGGACTGCCTTCTCTTTTTTAAGTTCTTAATACTGGATTTGTGCTAATGAACCTTAGGGAGTGATCATGTCTATACTGTCTCATAATTGGGGCTAGTTTCTAGGAAGACCAGATAGGATACAGGAGTCTCGCTCTCCAGCTACTCTATGTCTTCTAGAAAATGGAGAAGAGATGTAGAAGGGCCTCCAAAAGCTCGTGAGATGATCTCATCACCAGAAATGGCTGAAGAATGCTGCAGCTTGCCCTGCAGATCTGTTCCTAGTCACTCTTCTCACATAGCTACATCTTCCTCAAAATTGTCATAATAAACAAAGATATATAGCAAACAATCTACCCAGGTTATGCAAGCCCTTTTGGTAAACTGGCAAAGGAGAGCCACAGCTTTTTGGATGGAGCATGAGTAGTCCCAGTTTTGTGACTGTGATGAAGGGGAGTAGGTTTATGCAATTGCATATTTTAACCTGTGGACTAATTTTACCACTAACCACTTTAGTCCTTACTTCTTTATAATAAGCCCCAAAATCATGCAAGCTCAAGCATGACAAAATCGGCACATGGCTGGAGTGTGATGGGTTGGGCACCAAGCTGAGGTGCCCTCTCACCACTAGCTGAGGAGCTGGCATTTGATCCCTGTGGGCAAAGGAGGTTGGTTTTGTTTTAATGGTGGGACTTCTGTTAGGTAGGAAAGTCTGTAGCAGTTTCTCCTGGCATGAGTAATTGGGTAATACAAATTGGACTCTGGATTTCATATAGATGTAAAAGAAGAGACCGGGAAGTTAGATAGGTGAGAATGCATCTGAGAGGCGATGGGGGAGAGAAGTTAATATGATGTAAATATATTGTATAAAATTCTCAAAGAACATGCTCACTTCAGTAGCATATATACTAATATTGGAACAATATAGAGATTAGCATGGCCCCTGTGCAAGGATGAGACACACATTCATGATGAATTCCATATTTTTGAGCACCCCCTCAGAGGCAAGGGGTCGAAGGAATGAGATGAGGAACTGTGGGAGGGGGAACTGAGGTGGAGCAACGACTGGAATGTAACTAAATAAAATAAAGAATTCACAAAGAACTAACAATAAAAAAAAAAAAGCTAGTATAATCACACCACCATGATTGCTTTTAAAGGATTAGATAGCAGTGCAATTCCACTATCTTACTCCTCCCTATACAGGTTTCTCCTGTTATCTCTACTCTTTGATAACCTTTTCTCTTATCCTGGACTTGAAGAAGCACCAATGGCATTACGTTTGTCAAGGGCTTGTAATTACTTTTAGTTTAGAAAAGCCATCCAGGTGTTGTCTTTGAAACTAAAACTTTTAAGACATTTGTTATTTATAGAGTTTAAGTGATTTACTTGAATGTTCTCTCTCTCTACGTGTGTGTATGTGTGCATATGTATATGTGTGTGTATGCTCATGTGTACAAGTACATGTACTTATGGAGATGTCACATACTCATGTATGCTTATGTTTGTAGAGGCCAGAAGAGAACCCTGACTTCATTCATCATGTACTATTAATCTTGGTTGTTGAGACAGTCTCTCATAGGTATGGGATTCCCCAATTAGGATAGGTTGACTCATCGTAGGCAATCTATCCCTCTCTATTTTTACAGTACTGGAATTGCATTTTACATATCACCATACTTGGCTTTAAAATGTGAGTTGTCAGAGCTTCAACTCATCCTCAGGCTTGAGATCTAAACACTTTAGCATCTGACCCTATAATCCCAGCCACTGAATGTTTTCGTACGGATAGTTACAGTTTTTTTTCTTTTACTTGTTTTATATTTGTGTAAGCTATGCTGTGTTTTTCATAGATCTGATATGAATGTTCATGGCCCTTCACGTAGCTCCTGAGAGCCTCAATTTTATTAGACAGCCCATCCTACAGCTTCCATCTTCCAAGTGCTGGGATTACAGGAGTATTTTCCATTTTTGACTACATAGAGAGCTTGCAAATCTTCCAGGACAAGCCCAGACTCACTTTGCTATGCTACTGGTTAAAGCTTGCGTTCTGCAGCATGTGGTAGAAATAGAAGGTGGCTCATATAATGTCATTCTGAGTTTGAGCAGCTGAAATTACATGTTCATTCAATCAGTAATTATTAATTAATTAGTTCATGAGTCCTTTTTGAAATAGTTTCTGTTCATGGTGGTGAATAATTATTTTTCATAAATTACAATTTTTTATATGCAAGACTGGGAATTACTTCTACATGGTAGTTTTGACATATTATTCAATTATACTGTCTTTAAAGTAGGATGGGTAGAGATCATCTTTGAAAATTAAGTATCCTAACTGTAGGATGAAGAAAAAGAAATCTAAGTTTTTTCAAAAAATATTATCTGTAAAGTACATTACTTTAATTTGACAATTGTGGACTAAGTTACTTGACTTTTCTGGTCAGAATTTACTTATCGTCAAATGAAAGGGATAGACAAATCATTTCTAAGTTCTCCTTTCCTCCGGCATCCGGTTTCTTACTATATCTGTTAAAATTTAAAGCTATAATCTGTATGAGTTCATTGCAGACAAATCTATAATAGGTTATTAAGGGAAAATTGGATGCTTAGAAACATTTCTTATCTCTAAAAAGACATGATATATAACTCAGCAGGTTCAACGGTAACATACATCCTACCTGCCTCTGTTCACCTCACAATCAACTAGGGTTCATGATGGCTCATTTGGCCACATACAGTTCCACTTTGTCCTTCTTTTATTACTTACCAATTTATTCTGCATGTTTTTGTTTCTGCCACAATAACCTCATTTGCTGTTCTTAGCTGATGTAAACATTGCACCAGATTTCCCCGATCAGCGTTTTCCAGAACATCAGACTTGAGATTATTTAAGAGCTTTGTTTGGTAGTGAAGTGGATTCTAAACCACGAGAGGAATCTGATCTATCGCATATATATATATATATGCAAGCCTATAATTTGAACATTCAGGAGGCTGAGACCAGAGGATTCCAAGTTCAAGGTCTCAGTACAACCTGGACTATATGCTGATACCCTGCTTCAAAAAGAAAAACAAACAACAAAATAAACCCCAATTACAAAACAAACAGGGAAATACCACAGAAGTGTGATGTTCCAGCATCATTTATGTTTGATAAGTTGTACTTCATGGTCTATCTGTGGGAAAATTGAAAGCAGAAGCAACTCAATATATTAGTTGAGTGTAGAGGAGTATCTGGAATGATGTAAGTATTGAAATTTCTATGTCTAAATAACTCTAGATTAACAAATATGTGTCTTAATATATTATATATTATATGGTATATATTAATTATATATAATAACATATTAACACACACACACACACACACACACACACACATATATATATATATATATATATATATATATATATATATATCCCTTTCTAACAAGTGTTTACGTGAGAAACTTTTCTGATATTATAACATAACACTACAACAGTTAGATAGAAAAGAGAAGAAAAATAGTACTGAATCTTGAATACTTGTGTTTGAATCCCAGTTCTGCCACTTAAGTAGCAGAATGTAAATCATGAGGCAAACTCTATGGGTCTTGGTATTTTCCATAGAAGAGAAAACTATAATGATAAGTACGTGAATGGATAAATGAGAATTAATTTACTACCCTGAGGTCCTTAGAGCATTGCTTACCATGAAATAAGTACTGCGTGCATGCTAGCTATTAGCAGTAATTGGTGTTTTTCCCAAATTGAATATTGAATACATTCTCAAATTCACGAAGATTACTTAAAGTAGCATTTGGCATTCACTGTGAAGATGGAATATTCATAGAATAGGATTTCTTCCTCAAATGACAATGAAAATAACATATGGCAATCATATCATCTAATGTTATGGGTTTTGGAGTATTTTCTCTGCTCCCAACACTCTTTGGGCTAGCTATTATTATTTTAATTTTTATAGTTTTTAGTTAATGTCCATTATGCAGAAAGGTTAACTATTTGCCAAAGGAAAATGTTTCTTGAAAATGGTAAGGCCATGATCAAACTCAGAAATTTTAATTAGAAGAATTTTATTTTGAAAAACATTGGATCTTCTATAGAATACATTGAGATGTGGCTCAGAATGACTTCATCCAATTCATATGCAAGTTTATAGAGGATGTGGTTCTTGTTCAGATGAATTAGACTCAGAACCTGTCATTAAAGAGGTGAGCATTTCATGGTAAAGATGAAAATACAAAAGCAATGTAGTGAGACATGTGTTATGAGAGTGGCACTCCCAGCCAGCACAGAGGACTGAGTTAAGGTCACAGGAAGAAGGCACAGAGGTAAGCATAGTGGGTGTGGTAGGACATTTGAAACAGAAAAGAAAGCAGGAAAAGAAAGGATGCATTTGGAGAGAATGGGCTTTGTGACTTGCACAGTACATGAGTATATAGGAGACATATTAGACAGGAATGTGATCATGTGCTCTTTCTCATGTGAAGAGATTAACATTCATCATGAAGGCTTGAGAATTTTATGAAAACAGTTAATAAGGAAGAAGACAGAGTAAATGTGCTTGGCAAAGTTTATTGCTTAAGAAGTAACAACAAGAGATTTTTTTAAAATAAATCATGACTTTTTAGTTGATGTTGCATTTTATAAAACTGTATTATGTTCTTTTTGTAGCTTATACACTATGTATTCAGTAGATATTTTCAACACTACTTACTATTAGCACCTACAATTCTCCTAAAATTCTCAGATTTAAATAATGCATTCAATTCCACTATCCCATAATTCTTTGAAGGCCTTAGTTTTGATTATAATTTTCAACATTCAGAATAAGAACATGAGGCTCAGGAATATTAATCTTTCAAACATGCCTCAGAATTAAAACTCCAAGAAGAAACTTGTGTTTAAAATCCTTAGTGGATCCTCCATGGATGTTCCTTTGCCTGAAAGTCACTAGACTGTACACTGTGGATCCTGCCCAGTACCAAGCAGGTCCAAATCTCCAATGGTCATTTTACTTTCTTCCTGGAAAACTATCTTCAGACTTATTCTGGCAGCTGTCTGACCATCCACATGTAGCCGAAAACTTCTGACCTTTAAGAACAGAGTGAGATTTCCCTGACAAGACTAATACCTGTGAGCTACAGCTTCCTTTAGTCCTGTTTGCTCTGTCCTCTTCTATGTGTCTTTGCAAAATGTCATAAATTCTGTAAGCATCACAAAGTCTTTTAAGGACAAAGGTCAACCTATTAGGGATGCTGGGATGAATTCTGAGTATGAATTCTGAGCAGTTGTGCTGTTCTGTTAAGCTCGTCCTGCAGACACTCCCTACTCCTAGATGTTGATAAGGATTTCAGAGCTGGCCTGAACTGACAGTCCCTTCATGGATTATTTCAGTGGTCCTGTTTTCCTTCCTTAGGCTATGTTCATTTTCTAGGATGGTCAGTACCTCAAGACTTTCAGGCTCATTATATGTTCCAAGCTTTTCATCCCAATAGAGTGGAATAAAACTCTAGTTGTCTGGGGTGGGAGGTGGCTATCTGAAGTTGTAAGCTGAAATTAAGTCTTTACATTGCGTATGGTCGTGGTGTTTATTACAGAAATAGGAAATAAGAGTGCTAAGCCAATGAATAAAAACGGTATGTATTTTAGAAGTGGAAAAATAACTTAGTGAGTAAAAATGTTTGCTGTGTAAGCATGAGGAGCCACATTTAAGTCCCCCCAAACACATATACAAAGCTGGACCTGGGTATACGTGCCAGGAATTAAGCAGTTACTGCTGGAAACATGTAGATTCTGGGGTCTGACTGAGCATTCAGCCTGGCTGAACTAGTAAGGTCCAGGTTCAATTTGATCCTATCTCAATTTTAAAAATGTATACTCATGCACACAGTGCATGCACATACACACAAACACAAACAAATTAAGAGAGAACAGTATCTCCAGATATCTTAGAACTGAATATTCAGGACACATACCAGCTTAGTT